CGGTTTTCTTCGTTAAAAACAGTGCATGAAATAACGGACCATTCACCAAAGTCGACCAGGTGCAGTACCAGAAATAGGGTGCGATATGGAACATGGCCCTGGCGGATTACGTCACTCCGTGTTGCATAACCTGTCGGAAGAATGTGGGAGTTGATCTGGTGCTGAACTAATTATGCAACTGGCAATTTAAGAAATACGATACGGTCTCCGAAGGAAAAAAAATAACAGCAAAGAATCGATTTATACCCCTTTTGAATGAGTTTGGCAGATAGAATTAAACATCTTGATTAGCACCAGCTACATATAATCAAATGAGATAACTTGCGAGGCTGATGCACAATGATGACATGAAATCCAATATTCATCACTAAACCATCACACAAAACATTCGTGTTGAATTTTCAATACATATAAGGCTGAGGATACCACAACGCTATACAAGCGTCACGGCGACCAAAATTTTAAAAAAATTGAAAAGCGACATTTGATGGTTTGATCTGAGTTGTTACATTCTCTCGTTTGTTGTTATTTCAACTGATTTATGATCTAGCCCTTTCCTCTAATTGTGTAACAGTTGTTTTGCCGGTGCAACCCTTTCCTCTTTTTCTGATATAAGCGATGACACAGCGTAAACGCAACCGTTCAAGCGCCCCAGCTACACGAGATGGTCTTTGTGTGAAGCCACCAGGCGGGTACCTTGTGAAAAAAAAAAAAAAAAAACAGACAGACAGACAGACGTACAGACGGATGGAAACACTAACAGACAGGCAGACAGACACACGGATTCAAACTAGTTTGTTTGGCCCCGTATATTTATAGAGTGTTCATTTCAATTAAATTAATTCACTTGTTCAGGTATTTCTCCTAGCTTGATATAAGGAGAATTATACATGTATCACATTGACCACAACTTTTGCCACAGACATGGCACCGGCAATTACACTTGGTCGGAATTTGTAAGGTGGCTTTTAATTACAGCTGGACATCAGTGATATCTCAAATTACGTGAGTTAATCTAATTATGATGACATTATGTCTGTCTGGCATCAATTTAAGGATTGCAACGAACCTTGTGCGACGGCGAAGGCACTGCAGTTGAACGATACGTCCGTAGAAATTAACGCTCGGACACACACACACACACACACACACACACAGGAACTAGATACATGAAACATTTAATACTATCCAAAAATCAAAATATAGGACTAACATCTAAGTCTCCCTGGTGCACATAAAAATGTACACCAATTTAAAAAAAACGCAGCAAAAATGCAACCGCACGAAAAAACTGGTTATTATTTCTTTTCGTTGCCTCCGATAAAGCCTATTTTACGGTACGGCAGGTGCACGAGCCCTTGGTCAGTAGTGTGTAAGTGAAGATCACTTTTCTTATCGTGTTGACGTAGTTCTTTCTAAACCATTTCAGGTACGAATTTATGGAATTTATAAACAGCCTATAGAGACTATTATAACTATTTGCCTTTACCCTGTCAATGTTTCCCCCCTTATGGATGGCGCATATTATTATTAACCGGCCTAGCGCTATTTGTGTTTCGATAGATGTGTGTGTGTGTGTGTGTGTGTGTGTGTGTGTGTGTGTGTGTGTGAGAGAGAAAGAAAGGGAGAGAGAGAGATTTAGGGATAGCGAATGTACATGTATGACAAATTAAAAATAATCCAATGTTCAAATCCGTCCGTTATCAGTTACATTAGCATAAATTCTAGTTATAGAAAGTTAACTTCGGTAAACATTTCTAAATTAAAACCTATTTGACAAAACAACAACAATAAATAAAAAGGTCAAATTTTGTTTTCCAATGGAATGACTAGTAGACGTTCAGATTCTTCACATTGATTTTTTGTTCCATTGCACAGTGTGAACTCGTGTAGACTTGCGTGATAGATTTTAAATTTTCGTTCACAAAGTTCTCACGTCCAAGTCACGCAACGACTTAAAGAACACCTAGATTGTTAGGCAATGCTGGATGCTCAGAGTAATCATATTTCTTTACTAATCGCTGGTGTGATTAATATCATTAAAAGTAATGAGAAAACCTGGACAGCTGGAGGAACGTAGCCCTCATTTGTTTCTTGGTCCTCGTGAGAAAAAAATGGCACGGAGTGTAAGGTGTTATGAAAGTCATAGCTTAGTTAGAGATAATAGGAATGGATCACTATGACGATATTTTCCAGCACTAAATAATAGAGGTAAACGAATGTTTAAATCAATGAACTTGTATGTCTCAGAGTTTTTTTTTTTATTCCTTCTCCAGCTTTTTTTTCGGTTTGAGCTCGTAAGCGCGGAGCTGTACGTAAAATCCCCTTCGAACTCTCTAACTTAATTTAACAAGTAGCCAGAGAAGGATACCGAAAATTTCGGCTCGTAAAGTGGTCTCAGCTGTGCTTGCCACAATTTGACTCCGCAGCGGTGTCATTATGCAACATCGCAGAGGAAGAAAACTTATGCAACTGTCCAGCTTGCCATTAGGTCATACTGCACGGCGTGTAAATATTGTAACCAAGAACCGTGTTTACAGACAGTCTGGGAATTTACTTGCTTTAATTCCAAAATCAGACATGCTAAAAGGGGGGACGTGGCCGGATTCTGGTTTGAAAAAGTTATAATCTTTAAGTCTTCTTCTAATCAATGAAATGTAAAGCCTTCTTGTATCTGTAAATAATGGGAATTAAGAAGGTGACATATTCTACAATGAAGGTGTCTTTCAGCCTGAGTTGCTAGCGATACTATTGATCATATCTGACACAAACTGTTTTCTTCGCATTGATTGAGTGGTTGCTTTACAAAAAAAAATGTTTATAGTATTCCATTGTGGCAGCCACTCCTCCAATGACTTGGCCTGCCGCACTATTTCATAATTCTGTTTTTGTAAAATTTCTGTCGAGGAAATGAGAGACAAAGCTTTCGTGTTGCCTTTCATTCTCAGTTTACAAATCTTCGTGGTCCCCACCGTGAGCTCCACGGTATGGTAGCACAATGTTGAATAACAGTTCGATAGTATGTTTGTTTCACCGCTTCCTCACCCCGCGTGATGTAATGAGATTATGAATATAAACGCTAAAAACAGATATCTTGCTGAGCCAGGCAACAATCTCTTCGAAAAGACATCACAAAGATACTATCAATACACCATGCTAAAGTATTTTCAATTTGATAACTTGTCACGTCATCGATGACGTAAATGGGTCAGAGGGTCCTGAAACATTGGCCCTAACCGAATAGGTTGCCGTCCAGCATTTTTTTAAAAATTATTTTTGCTTCAACTTTTTTGTTTTTCTTTTTTAAAGATAGCCAACTCACACAGTTTTTGCTTTTATGTTCAGTCATATTTATATCGTATAATAGCACATTGTTGACAAAATCTCAGACACACTAGGCCCCCAACAGCTTTCAAGAAGTCCACCGATGAAAGAATTTATTTTTCATTTTATTAAACTTATTCTTAAAATCATAGCTGCGGTGCAGTGCCAGGGGATGTTTAATAACGATCTTCTAAAACGATTTTAACTATATTAAAACACGGGAGCATTGCCCGTATAAATACCCACAGGCCTACTTTCATTGGAAAAGCTGGGATGTGCTCGGCGGGCAGGAACTTTGCAGACGATCTCCCATGGAGAGTTACGTAAGATTGAGATAGGCTGATTGCGTAACCGGTAGGTGGAGCGACAAACGTACTACTGGATCTTTAATTTCTTTGCTGAAACAATTTTCTCCATCGAAAAGGAGAGAGGGAAATTTTATAAGAAACGTGCGTGCATTATGGTCAATGGGTTGAAAATTAATAACCATTCACGTCATTGCGTTATAGCTCAGCTTAAATAGGACCTGCATTGAAAGCCAATCGTGCTGCCATGATTTTAATCCTGTTAGTGGTGTTATATCATAATGCGACCCTTTTCACTAGATCTAACTGCTAAAATTGATCGTACCAGACAGACAGATGTTGTGCAACTTAATTCAGTGCAAACCGGTAAAGCACCTGACCGGCTCGTTTGCTTGTCACACCACACTACTACTCAACGCCAACTAGTGCAGCAGATGAATAACGCTGTGAGCAGGAATCGGTCTGTCTCTGGAAAAAAAAACTCTAGTGAATCTCTCTCCATTTACCTTCCCTTCTCTAAACACTGAAAGCCGGACAGCATTTTGCAATATTGCCTGAGATACTACACGTGCTTCTACACGTACCTATCAATAACTGGTAAATATCAAGAACGTCCGTTGTCCAGCTAAAAGGTTCCAGGAAAGGGACTGAGGTAAGGCTGCACAAAAGAGTTAGCAGATCAGTTTAGGCCCCACCCCCACCCCCAATTCATGGCACCATTGATCTTCTAGTAAGTTAAATAAAAAAAATCCAGCTCAGGGGTATATTCACCTACACTCAGCAGAGCTATTAGGGCCTATCTATTTAAAAAATTGAAATGCTGTCTTCTTTTTATGCTGGCCTAGGGTAAATTTTGGCTTGACCCCCATTGATAGGCTGCATGCAGAAGGCAAATAACAATTGAAGTTTGTAAAAAAAAAGGGGGGATGGTATTTTCACACACACCCTTTTTTGTAAGGGATGGTGTGTTTGAATAAGACCGATTGCAAATTCCTTTTTAAAAACTGCATAATCTTTTTGAGTCTATTTATTTATTTATTTATTTATTTATATTTTCAGATTGTCTGTCTTATCATGCTGGGATCTCTTGTCATTTATCATACATCCATCCACTCATACATTTATTTATTCATTCATCCATCCTGATTATTTTCAGCATTCGTTCGTTGTTGTCGTTTGTTCCTTCCTTCCATCCTTCATTCACTCTGTCACCTACTGTTATACTCAAAAGGAGCGATTATTATTGACAAATTTTTTTTATTGTAGTTTATAAAATTTATAGTTATATAATTATATTGCCTTTTTCGGTTCTTGGAAAGAGTGTCGGAAACAATCTTTTCTTGCATGCTCTTGTGACTAAAAAGACTCGATTGTGCACATCCGGATTCTTTCAAGATGGCGGTAAAAAATAAAGCATGCTCAAACAAAAGTACATTTTTATTAATAATTTTCATACTTTCAACATTTTTCGTCGTCGGACTGGCGAAGGACGATAAAAAAGAAGATGAAGCACAATCTAAGGAGGCAGAGAATGTCAAAGTCGACGAAGAAAAATTAAAATATGCCAAAGGGTCTCTATGCAATTATTGCGATTATTGCAAGGTAGGGGCAGACTCAAAATGTTGGTAGGGTAATTAATAAAACTGGTGTTAAAAAAGGCTTATGGTCATTCAAAAATGTCTTTAGCGACTTTTACATTTTTATCTTAAGTTTTGATTTCGACCCCCCCCCCCCAAAAAAAAAAAAAATGTGGAGGGTGGGGGAGGGGAATTCACTACTAGTACTGGTCTAGTCTCTAAGGTAGCACGAAAGTCCTGTGTTAGCACTCCTTTCTTCCAGTTTCTGATATGTACTGGTTTTGCTAAAACATGAAAGCAAAGACCTCGAGTAAAATTGAAGGTGGTTTGTTGAATTGAAAATAGATGATACAAGAATTTTAAAGAAATTTCTTCATGGTCAAAGGGGTGTTCCTAAATTGCACAATACACAACAATACAGCGCAGCACAGTAAAATCCACTTGATAAAACAAGTCCAGTCCCATGTAAACAAAGAAAAGTGTCAACATTGCCAAGAAGAGCCACTTTCCAACAACGCTGATGACCCGACGAAAATCAATCTGGATGATTAGTCGAGTTGTATCAACAAAATTTTTAATTACCTAGTAAAATATTCTGCTTTTATATCACCCCTTTTGTTGGGAATGACCATTTCCTTTATTTAATTGCAACTGCACTCTTTTTTTCCAGTGTATTGCACTGTGTTGCACTGTTTTGTAGTGTATTGCGCAATTTAGGGACATTGTGGTCAAAGTGCAAGTTAAACAACTGCCAACTAAGCTTAGTTAATGTATTCCTGCTCGGGACAAATGGTTTGACACATCAACTTACCAAATTTGGCCTGTACTTCCTTTTAATCTTCATGCATATAGACCTGCTAATATCTGTGAGTGTTAATTGCAAACTTGAGATCTGCACCCTAATTCTACAATTTCTAGTAACTTCCATTGTGTTGACCAATATCATGAAATTTTTGCCCCAAAATGCTGAAAAGGTTTTTTTTTATCGCTGAAAAGGTTTTTTTTTTTTAATTTTAAAAGGTTCAGTTTGTAAAGAAAAGATATTGATGTTATCTATAAAACGCATGTAACAGAAATGGCCTCTTATCATACAAAAAGTCATTTAGATGTTCTGGGCTTCTTTGTGCCATATCAATTGAACTTACCTAGTTAAAATCATTTAACATGATCCTGTATACAGTTTAACTTATTTGAGAAAAAATCCAGAAAAATGCAAAGCATTTAAGTTTTTAGCATTACTGGATTTTAGGGTGCCATTTTTAACACTGAATGACTATATAATCAACTACAACCACGTGGGAAATTATGACCAATGTACATTATTATTACCCTTTCAACTGTATTAAATTTCTGATACTTTTGCAGTATCCCCCCCCCCCCCACACTGTGACTCTCTAATTTTTAATACTGTTCAAAATTAAAGATGCATATGAACTCAATTTTTTTTTTTTTTTTTTTTACAAAAGTCCACCAAATGTTACCACATAGTTTCAGATAGTATAAATACTGAAAGGCATAGTTTCATAATACCTGAAAAAGGATATTTGAAGGGATTTTTCTACTTGCTTGCTATTCTCTATATGGATGGGGCAGATAAGAAAGTCAAATAAGTAGGTCAAATTTATGACCAAAAATTTCAAAAAGTGTCTGTTTTAATCTCTTTTATGGCCATATTTATATAAGTGATTATACTTATTTTAGTTTTTAAGAAACTAGTAGAAGTGGTTTATATGCATTACTGGTATCCACATTCCATTGATGATCAGTTCACATATACATTCAAGTAATGTGGCGACTTTGATCCATATCTCTGCCATTTAAATACATTTGTTTTGAAATTTACTTATTTTTATTTTTAGAATTTTACCAATGTGATTACAGCAAAATGTCACACCAGCAATAGCCTTAGCTCTCATAATATTTGGCAGACATAAAGTTTCAAATTAAAAAAACATCAAATTAGTAAATGAATTGCCAAACTAATTTATTTCAGTAATGGAGACATTGTTCTAAGTCACCATACAACTAAATATATGTCACAATCAGTAAATAAATTATGTGCTGTGGTCATGCACAACTTTGGAACTTCCTTGTAGAGTTGCCATTATCAAAATTACATGCATGATATATAGAAAAGATATTGAATATCACAGAGTTATGTTGTGGAGGGGGGATACTGTGAAAGTGCCAAATTTCTTTAAACAATAGATTGGCCATGGGTTGTTGTCCAACAAAAATACAGAAGGGCCTTAGCATTGTTAGTGCAGGACTACACTTGTCAAGAGCATTGTACCTCATTTGATCATTTGGATAAAATTACAAGGAAAATCACAAAGTTAGGTAACGAAACTGCAAATTGATCTATAAAGATGAATATAATTGAAATTAAAATTAATGCAATCAGATAAGAGTAATTAAAACAAAATAAGATGAGAATTATTTAAATAAAATAAGATAATTGTACCACCAGCGTTAGCGCTGGCGGTACACATGGTTTTGGTCCCGTCCGGAACGTTCCGCCGGCTCCGCCAGCTCCGCCGGCTCCGCCGGACGGCTACCGTTACCGCTTCTCCTCCTAGACGGTAAGGGCCCCCGTACCCATCTCATGGATTTAGGTCACCTATAATCTCAACTCGTTCCACGTAAAATTTGGGCTTTGTCGGTATTGGGGTCTGGGTGTGGCACTCATTACAATGCACCCTTGTCTAAAAATGGCAAAATTAAATGCTAATTATCTACCCTACGGAAGGAGTTATGGGAAAAATTTCTATAGACGGCCTTCCAAAAGTCATATGTGTAGATTTCAAATATACCCTTGGATTTGACCTTTGACCTTTACTTCAAGGTCAAATGGGCCAAAATTTTCAAAAAAANGGTCTATACGAATGCGCTTGCTCCAGCTGGTGGTACAAAATTCGGAGGCGGTATCGCCTCTCTGATCCTCTAGTTAAAGATAGATAAAAGGTTAATAAGCAAATGAAATGGAAAATAATGGAAATTGCATAACTGTTAGATCTTGCCCATTTGGATGACTTGTAATTACAGTTTTGTAGAAAGCCTTGCTGATGAGGTAATAACTGATTTTTTTTACCAATTAGGGTAATGGACTCAATAGTATGAATACAATGGAAAAATGATCAACAATTAATAATCTTGGTTGAATAATTATTTTGTAATAAACAGGTTGTGAATAGTCTGCACCCAGTCTTTTAACAAAGTGATGCTTTTTTCTGCTCTTTCCATCTTATTTGTTTAATTCTTGCTTCTGAGCTAATGAAACATGGATTAACACAAAGGTAAACTATCAGTCATCAGTATCAAAATTATTCTATCAATATTTAAAATGGCATGTTACCTAAATACCAAGATTGAAATGATTGGAGTTGAGTATTGACACATCATTTATTAATGTTGCACCAAGGCTGCTTTTCAAATGAAATGCAAAAAAAAAAAAAAAAGGTTTTCACACATCTTTTATTCATGGTGCACCAGGGCTGCTTTTTATAAGAAGTAAGGAAACTGTATTCTGCAGTCATAAGCAGTAGGGGTGTGGGTGGTACAGTGAAAGCTTGGGAACATCTGCTGCCTCTGCTACATGTTATTTCTTCACCACATCTGCTGGTTGTTGTGTGCAAACATGTATTGAGACATTGACAATATGATAATTTCTGTTCTTTGTTATTTGGAACAACCCTAACAAAGTTAAACTCGACAACCTTATACATGTAGGTTTTTTTAATCGTATCTTTTTTTTTTTTTTTTTTTTGTTTAATCGTGTTTTTGTGAAAAAGGATCCTGATGATCATAGTCACTGTGATATTTGTTTGAAATATTATATGACCAGTCATATATTATTCATTGGCATCCAAAAGATGATTCCTTTGTAAATTTTATGTCACTATGCAGCCATCACCTGCATCCGTCAGCATTTTAACCATGTGGCTTGTTATTCATATTTCCAGAGTATATTTACAAGACTAAATGCAATACATTCTTGATTTTTTAGTTACACATTGGAATTTTCAAGTTTTGACGTTGGAACTTTGATGCCCTGCACTGGTTCCATTTTGTGAATATCCACATTACCACTAACATAATTAAAAAGTGGTGGAAATAATGCTGTTAAACATTCTGTGGTATTGCATAAAAATTAACAAAAACCTATTTTGGGCAATGAAGGGATTACTGTGTACCTACCACAGTATCCTCAAACCTACTGGAGTTATTTACATAGCACTTGAATACAGATTTTAAAGGGATAACAACTGTTCATTTTGGCCAAAAAAAAAAAAAGAATTTTCCTGGGGTAAACAGCAATTTTCCCATACTTACCAATGGTTAATGAATCCATTTCTACATTCAAAGTTAGTCCCTGTTTTTTTTTTTCTAAAAAGTTTTTTTGTAATAATCTCTTAAGAGATAATTACAGAATATAGTCATCTATGGTCCAATGGCAAGCATATATTTCAGTTTTATTGGTACAACTGCCATTTTTGTGGCAAAAAAGAATATATATTTTTCTAGAGTTGTTTACAATGTATTTATTATGAAATATAGATCTCATACGAAGAGTTATTATCCCTTTAAAGTCAAGTGTCAACTGTATTGGCATTTTCAAGGTTGAACTTTGAACTTCTCTTGGCCAGAAGCCCTGTGGAAGGTACATTTCTTGAATGTCCACATTAATAGTTGTACATAATAAAGAATTGGTGATGATGATGCTGTTTAAATAATAAATATTGTAGGAAAATTTACAAAAACCCTGCTTTGTGGACGGTCATTGTTAATGCAATAAATGGATAACTGTGTGTGCATTATAATACTTAAGTTTAATAGCTTTATTGAGCCATATTTTTTTTAATTATGTAGTTTTTTTTTGTTTTTGTTTTTTCACACAATTATAGCATTACCAAGGTGTGAATATGAACTCCCATGGGCCTGGAAACCAGTATTTTTGATTTATTGAATGTCCATGCTTACTGTAGTGCAAAATTAAAATCTGTGGTGATTATGCTGTTTCCTAATAAATATTGTATCAAAATTGCCAGAAAATAATTTTGTTCATAGTCATCATAAACACATTAAAAGGAAAGTCATGTTTATTATTATTCTCAGACTTGATGGAATACTGTGTAGAACTAACATACAGCTTGACTTAAAAAGCCAATTTGATTGGGTTATTTTACATATTTACATTTTTAAAATGGTCTTGTTTAAGGATGCAGTATAGCATATGAAGTCCTTGTTAACATTTTACCATATTTTGGATCTGGATATCTCGGAAACCATGAAAACCCTTTTTGGAAGTATATCCCAATTGGTAATACTTGTGTGTTGTAACATGGACCTAGTAAGAGATAACTGGTTGCCAGGTAGTTACATGTTCCAATACATTGTAATTATATGCAGAATATATACATAGTCAATCAAAGTGGTTGAACTATCTTAGGTGCATATCAGTCAATGCTGAGAATACCATAATGGGCGAATTGTATTATACAACATCTGTGCTCTAAGCCAACACCTCCCCAACACGTACACACATACACATGTACACACTTGTAAAAAAAAAAAGAGGCTTGCTGTGGGCTATTTCTAGATCCATTAATAATTCTCTCTGATAAACAGCTTGAAATACAGGGAAATAATGTGGTTAAACCACAGAGACAATCAAATCAGCCATATATAACAATTCAATGGAATCGTTGTCTTTTTTAAAAGGCATGTTAAAACATGTTTACGTAGGATTCTCAGTTCCATATTATTTTACAGTCACGCCATATTCCATGCTTACTGTTTTATTGTAGGTGGCCATTCCATCAACCTTAGGGCTAATTTCTATGGATACCATTAGTCTACGTAGATTGATTTAACTCTGCAGGGAATCTTGCTGAGTGCAGTAAGCTTAACTAAATGACACGCCTCCTCTTGTTTCTAACGTACTCTTAAAATCACCAACCAATCTGTATTCTACTCACTGCCAAGAAGAGGGGTGTCATTCAGTTAAGCTGATTGCACTCGACGAGAGTCCCTGCAGAGTTGGATCGAGCTTTATAGACCAATGGTGTCTATGTGAATGAGCCCTTATGCTTCTTTATTTGTTATGTCATTTCAAGAATGAATATACTGCAAATTTATTAGTTTTCATGCGTTCAAGGGCATGTGATTTAAATATAGCTTTATTAGGGTAACACCATGAAACAGATTCCTGAAAATTTGTGACAAAATAACAAGTAATAAGTTTCAGGTAACAAACTCAAGAAAATTGATAACAAGGCTAAAATTTGGATTGAAAGGAAAGATTAGGAGAGTAATACACAAATCACGAGAATCCTGACGAAATTTGATAGGTCTAACCAAGATATGTGTATTATTACAGGAAATCTATAGTGAAAAATAATTAATAAGCATTTTTGAACAAATATTTTCCTAGAAAGACTGTCAAAGTCATCATAATAGTCAAGCTTATTGGAAAAAATGAATATCTACTTTTTTAAAGATAGGATGTAAGGTCTATGTGAATGTTGTTGTACATAACTAAATAAAAGACAACATTTTAGACCCATACTGGTCATAATACCAGCTTAAAAAGGCACCCTCTTTGGCAGTGAATCAGACCCACTGATGACCCCATCTTTTGCTTTATATGTGCTTATAACTTTTTGATCGGTTTGATCACTGAAAATTAAGCTTTACTGATTACATTTCAGTTTTGTAAGCTGTGCGATGAAGATTGCCCCTGTGAAACGAGCCCCAGTCAACCAAACTGTCACATGTGCAAGGTAAACACAATTGTTTTGAAAATTGTAAAACTTCTCAGTCATTGAATTTGAACATTATATATAAGTATTAGTAATTAGCACGAGTTGAATATTGTACACCTACAGTATCATGAAGTCCTCTATTCTGAAGAGTTTCTTCTCTTTTATTTATTTTTGACTGTGACTGTTTGTGTGCCTGTGTGAAAAAGTGGATTTACACTCCAGTTGTGAAGGCATAATGCCATACTAATTCAATACATTGTGTTATTATAAGCTAACCATGCAGAGCAAATCTACTTCTGTAGTCCTGCCCGCTTCTATCTCAACTATAGAATAAATGAATAAAGCTGTGAATTTTGCTATTTATTAGACCCTAGTTTCACTTGTATCCCTTGTATTGGGCTTTATCTGCATTATGTATGTATTTTAGGCAGATGAACAAATCTAATGATTTTTTGCTATTTATTTGACCCTACCAGGCTTAACATGTATGGTGTACCCTTTCTGTTACATTGCTGTTGATTTAGAGTACAATTTTCTATTTCAGTATTGCAAGTTCTGTCACCTGTGTAAAGTGTGTGACTCTATTTGCCAGCCAGGTAATGTAACTAGTAGTGCTTTTACTCAACAGTATGTTACATTGTGTGGACTAGGATCTGCCTTATTGGGTTGGGGGGGCTTTTTCTAAAAAGAAAGTGGATCTTTTAGCAGGAAACCTTCATGTACCTTGATCAAATTTAACTCGGAGTGGATCTTTTCTAGGCAAAAATGGGGATTCATGGACCCCCCCTAGGCTATGGCCCTGGGGTGGGTTGGTGTTTGGGGTGGGTGGGTTAGGTATTACTTTACTAAAGAATATCGTAAATTAGGCTTAACTTTAAGACCCAAATTTTTGGTATACTTCAGTTTGGGCAAATCCATATTTGTTCCTTAAAATAAAGTGCCTTTGGCTTCAACCATATCTTCTTTTATGTAGAACAAAATTTTGTGTAAGTAGACTGATACTGATTTATTTAGGGTCTAAGTAGACTAAGATGTTAAGACCAATTTTCAGGTTAAGTTATATAGGGACATTGGCCGGCCGTTTGGATCAAAGCTGGGTAGTGCATTTCAGTTTTCTTTTTTCATTGTCTGTACTTCCCCAGAATGAAACAGCAGAAGATAGTTATAGATTTCTTATCAATTGCGGGTGCTCTGTACAGATGTTCAGAGCATTATCAATATAATATTGCTTCAAATTCTTAGATAACATGCATTGTTGCATAGTATTCAAATGCAATAATGATTGCCAGCAAGCCTTGAATGTTGCATAAGTTTGCTGCAAATGCAGTAACACTGGTCCATGATTTAATATTACTTCAGTCTAAAGTGCTTATTGAACTTGAGAACGAGTTAATCACACGAAATGTGATTAAGCCTATATTGTGAGCCTTCCTATATCCTGTCAAGAGGGTTGTGTAATGTGAACATGAGAAAACCTATTATTGGTGGTGTGCGGATCATGATGCAATTTCTAGTAAAACTTGCCTTTAAAGTTAATAAGAATACGATAATAAAAAGAACCTTATGCTTTCTCTTTGTTTGTTTCCAAGAATGATCATTTTATAGGTGGTAACTGCCAAGCTATTATTTGATTTCCTATCATTTTATTTCAGGAGGCATCATAGATCGAGTAACTGCAGCTCTGGTAAAGTAAGTATGATAAGCCTATCATGTTTTGTGCAAAGATGGGAAAAACATACAAATACAATAAAAAAAGAAGTGGAAGAACCCTTGAATATTGAATAATGTCAGATTTTGTTACAAATTATCAAAAAGCAAAGTCAGAAGAGGTAACACATTATTTTCTATTCCAGTGCTCTTCCTCACCATGATCCAGAGGAAATCAACAAAGATATAGATGGAGTCAAAGAATGGATAGATAGGAAAAAAGATGAATTATAAGCTTATGGATATGATAGGATATGATAGATTTTAATTTGTGTAATATTCTAGCAAAACAGAACAAATTAAATGTTTATTGTTATTCATGCCTCACTTTGATAAATGATATTCTTGATTCTGTACCATTTAACAGACCTAATGTTTTTTTAATGTGACAGACAGTCATCACTATTCATATTCATGGAGAAAAATCAACAAACACTGACATCAGCAGTGCTAAAAATAGCTTGAATCTTTGTATGTGAGTGCTTTATATAATTCAGATAATTATCAAAATGTCAGATACAAACATTACTAACAATAGGATCTTTTGTAAGGTGCATGGATTTTGAAGTATTCAAATCTAAAGCCATAAATATTTGAATGCTGAAGATTGACTTCATTTTCAGATCTAACATTTTACAGTTTCTACATTACATCATAGGTAACATTGAAAATTATATCTGTGCATGTTATTTCTGAGATATTGATTGTGGGAATTGTAACAGTTGTATGCAGCTGTTAGGAATGTTATTTAAAGTTGCATCAGACACGTCATCGTGGACATCTGTTCATCAACAAACGTTCAATTACATAATGTTAGCTGTGCTGATGAAGCTTTTGCTAGTAATTTGCTTCCCAAATGCCACTAGTAATATGTCAGTGTTGATAAAAATTGGCACTGTGTTTATTTTTAGTGTGAACGCTCTACCATGCTTCAGTTAGTTTACTGATTTCTTGCTAGTAGAAAATGAGTTGTTTTTTTTTTATATTTTTATTTTATGCAGAGCAGTCGACACAAAGGTCGGGGCCGTAGCGATAGTCCGAAGGTTCAATAGTCCGAAGGTTCATTGGTCCGAATGTTCACTATAGAACCTTCGGACCAATGAACCCTTGATTAAAAAATCGATGAAAATGTTACCACTTTTCGGACCAATGAACCTTCGGACCAATGAACCTTCGGACTATCGAGACGCCCCCCAAAGGTCCACTACAGAAAGCCTTTGCTGATTTGTCTTTCTTAGAGATAAAGATTAATTAGAGCTTAAATTGTATTGTTCCTTTACATTCCATTCTGACTTTATGTCAGAGTTGCTGGTTCTCTTTTCTACTTTTGTAGTTGTACAAATAAACAAAATTAGTGTTTTGTTTGTGCTGTTGATTTGAAATAAACTTTTCATTATCTATTTATCATATTGTAGTGCAATTGGAATTGCTGGGCTTGTACAAATGAGTGGCATTGTTCAAAAGAAAGTTTGCACTTAATTTGTTTACTTTTTGTAAAGTAAATAGAAAACCGAAATACTGATAGAAAATTATTCTTATGAAATGTAGCAAAGGTAACAGTAAAGACTGACTAAATTGAAAAGAAAAATGGCAATTCTCTCATTGCTACTCATAAAGCCGATTTCAAAATTGCACTGTAAAGTGGGGATGTAAGCCTGTTGACTTTCTTTAAAAAATGCCCCAAATATCCATCAATGTTTTATCATTTATCGAGTTGAGGATATAAGTTATTGCGAATAAATGGAAATGAAGCAACACCCCTCCCCAAGATGAGCTGTGTAGTGCACAATCAAGAGGCTCTTAGAATCACAACTAACACATCATGGTGGCACCATTTACGTGGGGAATTGCGCCCCTCATCTCAACAAACACACTGCAATCGAGTAGCAAGACCTGTTTCATCGCCACAGCCAGACGGGTAAATTCGACCCGATGACTGCAATTATCAGCAGTTCTCTGTTAAAGCTATAACGCTAGGCCCTACAAGCACGCTAACCCCCCCCCACACACACACACACACGCACACACACACACACAAAATGAAATTAGGCCGTTTTAGTATTTTATTGCAAACTGCTGGATGGACAGTTGGCTTCTTATGCAAGATGGACAAATAATCTCACTAAAACAGTCACCAACTTTTAACAACGAAAGAAATAAATTTGAAGTCGCTAACCGTGTGACAATTAGGTAGGCTTGAATCGTACATATTACGTGCAATATGGGAAACATCTTTCTTTCCAAAATAAAACATAAACTTTCAAACCCGTTGCCACCTCCACTATCTGTCTAAATAGTTTGCTGTATCTCTTTCTAAAAGCTCTAGAATTGGCATTATGACATGGCATTAGAGGCAACTCTCTCTTCAAAATGGTGAAATGTGTTGGCAGAATCTTTTGAATCGTGACTGTTGGCTACATTAAACAACTGACAACATTTAGCAAAGTTAACCTGCTTACTTTTGTAACCTCAATCAGCGAAATGGTGTTGAGATATCACCATACTAATAGATATGAATTCCGATGTAAAATATTCCTATTATTCTGTCGCAGTGATTCCGTAGCATTTTTTTTTTTTTTTTTTTTTTTTTTTGATGATGATGAAAAAAAAACATAATTGAAATATTGTTTGTTGTATTTCGTTATTTATCCCACATAAGCTCTGGTTAGCCCAGAGTCCGTTTCCATGATGCACCCTGGTCTTAAAGTAAAGCTGCTTGAGGCATTGCCTAGTACTATGCCACTTAACTCTGGTATACAGGGTGGGTTTTAAGAAAAATCCCCATCTCCCCCTTTCATCCTACCCTCTATCAGGGTGACAGATTGATTTTCCACAGATATTCACAGATATGTCTCTAGATAAATAGACAGTCATTTTGGTCTGATGTCGCTTCAGTCAAAAATGCATGTCCACAATAATAACTGCTGCCCTGGCAGAGGATTCTTTCAACCTACGCGCGAACATCTGCTAATGGGAATCATACTCTGTTTCAAACCAAACAGAGAAAGTGAATTATGTTTATGAACTGAATAGTATACAAAGCCATAAGTTAAGCAATATTACGGTGATTTTGCCACCATGCATCTCTGCACATTCATTGAGCCCTTCGACGTTTGTTTACGGAATGAACTCGGCAGTGTAATTTGTTTAAAAACCTGCCGTACCATCTGTGGCTAATTAAAGAACTTTTAAACATAGCCGCGGCTTCCGAAAGCACGAACCTGTAAAACAAACACTGCTACCTTTACGAGAATCTGTTCAGCAATAACTGCAATATGCATTTACTCTTCTAAGGACACACTTTACTTTTTCTGTTGCAAGAAATCAGAAACTGATTAAGATAAGCTGATGCGGAATGGGTTTCACTATCTTCCTTATTTTTTACGGCCGAAACTGAAGCAGAGGCGCATTTAGCTTATCTGTTTCGAAAGGTTCCTGTTGAGCGAAAAAAAAGTAATTTCAGTCTTGGACCAATCCCGATGCACCTCCCTGTTGAATTCGGACCACGTCTCCAGTTTCGGCATCATCGTGAGTACGCTGGTCGACTGTAGGGAACACTCGTGTTTTGGTGGGCTGGACGACACGCGGAGAAGACGGCAGAAGCAGGAAAGATAAATAGGAGTTAATAAAGTAAGTTTTTCAATTTCATTTGATAGAATTGCTTTTTTATATAATGCAGAATATTTTGCAGTATTTATTTTGATTATATTTATTTATTCATTTATTTATATAATCAATAATGTTTTTCAACTCTAAGACCTAAATCGGACAGTGAAAGGTAAAAAAAAGTTTAACGTTACTGTGCAAACGCTATTTCTGTGTTTTGAGTCCTCGAAAAAAAAAGGCACCATATCTCTCTTTCTCTGCGTATGTGATATATGTAGCTCATTCACCAGTCCCATTTCAGAAACATGTTGTGTGCAATTCAGTTAGGTTATTTTGGATCACGGTCACCCCATCGCTTGTCCTTTCTTTTCGCTTTATTAGTCAAACAATACAAAGCAGTCTATCAGGTTTATTGGACCTGACTTGTTAATACAGTTTACGCACATGCGGTCTTTGCTCTCACGCGTCTATCCTTTTGCGATTTCTCCTTTTTCCCCTGGTTCGGTACTAATATTTTTCCTTAAACGTGTTGCTGGAATCCTCAGTTACAGAATCCAATTAGAGGCGGGGTGCATCTGTTTGCAATATATACACGGACACTAAAAAGATACTTAAACCAGTAAATTGAATCCCCTAGAAACATTCAGGCAATTGTTAACAACATATGCATAAAAAGGTCCATTTTGACAATCTTTATTCACATGCGTTTCGATTATTTTCTTTTGGTATACACACCCATTTCACTTTTTTTGTTTGTTTTTGAAGTGAATGAAATTCGTTTTCGCTGCCAAGTATTTTAATACAGCACAGATAATCCGAAGCGGCTAATGACCTGTAACGATGAGGCCTGTCCAGAAACCCAAACCTCATTCCGAGCAATAGCAACCCCTGCTCCACCTTTTCAAGACACCTCCACAAGATTGTGTTAATCAGATTGTCTAGCTGCTCGTTTAACTTGCAGCTTCGCGGCCAAAGAAGGGCGTAATGGAGCAAGGAGACAAGACTTGTACAAACAAATTTGATAGTGGATCTGAACACACGAACTAATGTCGACGGAGCAGAAAAGAGTAGAAATATCTCACATGTCTAAGTTTTTTCCCTGGGTAAACAGTACAGATACGACTTGACAAATGCCGTCTAGATTTTGAACTCTCTATCCTACTCCATTTAAAACGAGTTAACTTAATATCCAGAACGCCTTAATTTAAGGTACGGATTTCCTTCCCTTCATCTCTCTCCCTTTCTCTCTCTCTCTCTCTCTCACACACACACACACACACACACACACACACACACACACACACGTACATTGACATACACGTGCATGTATATGTTTATATATCTTCAAAAGTTATCGGTCAAAATTAAATCTAAAATCGATCGATTTTCTTAAACGATATTATTCAAATTAAGTACCTTCATAATTTGCTTGAGGTCTGGATAATTGAAAGTGGAGTAAAGGCGTCGTCATATTGCCAACAAGAACTTTAAACTTTAACAGAAATCAACCCTCAGAACATTATCAAGGAAATTACTTTGGCTTCCGGCGCTTGCTCACGTTGATGAATTCGGTAAACTATGAACTTAATGCGTTTGGAACGACTTCAGAAGACTAGACTGGGATAAGTCAGGATTTACACACCGATCACAGGAGATAAACATTTGACTTGATGCCCCCTAATTGGCTTGATAAAGAAGCAATCATTTACCTTTAATTGACCACAGGGCACAGGGATGCAGACAGCGGTAAATCAAACGGTACTTGATCAGCAGTCTTATCTTTGCACGCAGATACCATGACGTAATCCCTGAGAGGAGTGGTGGGGAGGGGGAGGGGGAGGTGAGAGAAATATGGTATCATGGGCAGATCTGAATAGATGGAAATCCATATTGTTTAATGTTTGTTTTATTTAGAATCCCAGGTTAAGGTAGATTTCATAATATGAATTATTGACAAGAAAACCTGCTACTGTTTTATGTTCTACCGGAAGAAAATGCAATTGATCTTTGAAAAAAAGAGAAAAGAAAGCGCCAATAGACTGATTCAGTAAATTAGCTTGTTTTTTAATGTAGAAACCCCATGCACAGTTTACCAGGATTCATACACCAATCTGGAATTGGGATAAATCTAGGATTCGCAAATTGAAATATGATATACTTATTGAAGCGATGTAAACATGGGCACCCCGTGTAAGACAAACAACAATTTGCATGATCTGATTACATTTTCAGTGTCCCTCCTCTAAGCCATTGTCCAGCAAACTCGCAGGAACATCAGCGGAAGAGTTGAGAGAAATTTAAGACAAAGGTTTGCATTTAAAGTCAATAATCCAAAGGAAGACAAAGGTTTACATTTCATGTCAATATCCTTCTTAGTCAGTCAATGAGGATTTTGGCTGGACGTACAGGCGTGTTCATTCGGTAGCTAGGTAGCGGAACCCCGTGCTGCAAATTTTAGTCTTTTTCACAAACTGATTTATTAATCGGACCTTTTGTCTACTCGATAGCCCATTACGCAGTGGCCTAAGACTCTGACCTAACAAGCGACACAAGCATATTTGTCCAATAATCTATCAAAGTCACACAAGCGCCTGACAAATTGCGACTTTTCTATCAAAACTGATCGTTTAAGTAAATTTGAGTAAGATGGACGCGATAGTCATTGGCCAGATGTGCGTGCGTGTGACACAAATCTTTTATTTAGAACTGAATTAGATTTACTATTTAGGCGATAACATGCAAATCCACAAATCCGCGACACTTAAAGGCCAGTCTGTCAATATTTGGGGGAGATTGGTAGACGCGTTTTCCGGGACCGAGGGTGTAGAGTCCGCATTGCTTCCATTGGCATCGCGAGACGGACTGGTGCATTGAGCAATGGGAGCCACGGAGTCGGTCCTAAATGACCGGTCACCGCCATGGTCCGTTCATGGTCAAACGACCAAATCCCGAAATGTCAGGAATGTCACTATGTCAGCCCCTGGATCTCACCCTCTGAGAGGCAGAACCAACATTGCTGCTTTCCGCGACGTCAACCGGCTACACATTGCGAACGGCCGTCGGTCACAAGATGATCGCGACAGTGAGGCCTTTCAGTCGGCGTCACCCTACGGCCCTTTGGAATTTAAACATCAGAAACATGGGGTTAGCTCGGAGCCTGTAACAAAAGAATTTGACCAGGAAATTCAGCGGATTTCTAATTTAGTGAATGTTCTTGAAAGCCTTGAGAAGAACCTGCCAACTTGTGAGCCGCCGTGTCCTCCAAGCGAAAATCGGGAAGCTGTCGTGCCCGGTGTGTTATTGTCTTTTAACCGGACAATCCCTGCTGAAGAGGTTCTGCCGAAGAAAAGTGTGCGTTTTGTACGTATTTTTATTCATTCTTTTCATAAATAAACACAGAGAATGATAAGTACATAAATTCAATTGCAAAAACGACAATTAATAACCGACGTTTATAGGGCCTGTATGGGGCCTACATTATCACACACTGTGTAATGATTAATGTGTTAAAGTAATTTATTTTTAAAGTTTATCCGGCAGTCGACTTCATTATCTTTTTATTTCTCATCTCGTTTTAATAATGTGATAAGGAACCTGCACATGGTTGTTAAGATATTCGATATACATCAACATGGTAAAAAAAAAAAAAAAGAATACCGCCACGTAGAACTGCTGCTACCGTAGCCAATTCTCGAGCGATGGTTTCTGCGGGAGTCGGGAACTGAGTAGGAAATGAATGAGATCGCAGAACGTGGAAAGAAGCTCCATGTGTACTTCCGTGGACCCTTCTTGTGGTCGTAAACACTTCAAATACACGCGATGTTGGCATCGGTCAACACAGGTGGATATACTTACGATAATTAAATTGTTCACCTGTTTACTGAACATGATTGCCCACTGGACACCACCTCCTTATATCTATCTTATTGTATTGGGGGATTACAATAGGCCTGTATATATAACTTATCGATGTAGGCAAGAACAGTAAAATTGCGATTTTGATGTAAGATGCAGTTCAAAGGATTGGAATCATATTCCTCTGATATTTATTAACTAAAAGACGGTGTTTTAAGGACAGTTCGCTGACCAAGATATTAAAGAAAGCCAAGAGAGAGAGAGAAAAAAAACAAGAAAAAAAGTATCATAGTATCAAAGAAATGATTGAAATTATTAAAAAAAAAAAAAAAAAACGTTGTGTCCTCCAAATGAAAGTCGGGAAGCTATCGTTCGTTCAGTTAAGTATATGTATTGCGAGTTGCGACAAAACTTGCGAGGACATATTAATTAATTAACGTTACAATAGAGAGCATAGGCCCCGAAAGGAAGCGCTTGTTATAAATTTAAACGTAATGGCTTTTTGTTTTATATGAATTTAAAAACTAAAAAACTCAAATGTTGAGACCTTGAGATAATTTTTACCTAATATTCATATAAAACTGTATGGAAAGACTTCAGAAGGCTTGCAACAACAAGATTGAAGTATCGCAAGCTACTAAGCAATGGTTTTGGCGCATCTTGAGTGCGTCAATTAGACCCCTAGGGGCTTTTCTTAGTGGTGAAAGATCGTCTGGGGGCGACCGCTATTTGCACAAAAATGTGAGTTATAAACGTCTATCTAAGATAGTGCATTATCACTGGGAAATATTTACCGAAAAGGTAGCAAATTTGTAAAAAAAATTCTCTTGTTCTAGGAACTTGGCGGCTGCAGGATGGCCAGTCGCCAGGCGACTTCTGCGACTTTTTCTCTGGAGCAGGGGGAAGTAGCCAGAGTAGAGCCAGTGTTACACGTGAGGGGCCACAGAGCGAAGTTGGACGGACAAATCGAAGTCAGTAGAGTGCCGACGCAAGTACGTATCTTATTTGGTTGCTTGTTGTCTTTTAAACATCCTTTTGAACGATTCTTATTATTTGATTGGAAGTTTTCAGAAGAATGAGTTTATATTATGCAGAGAATCAAAACTGAAGTGAAGAAAGGAAAGAAAATGAAGTAAATAGATAATTATATAATGAATTAGTAAAAATAAATAACGATAATAATTATTTTAATAAGTACTTAAACAACAGGTATATTACAATGGAACAAAACAGGCCTCCTGTAGCTCTCCACCGAATGGGTCAGTATATATACTGTATATGTATATATACAACAACAGGGAGTTGGTGCATATGCTAGCTAGAAAAGCACTGAGACTGCAAACCCCCACCAAGACAGTTAATTGATTTATTAATAAAGTGATGGATCACTGCCAAATTCTAATGGATTCTAAGTTGGCCTATTTTAGACCTATCCTGAAAATTTTTCAAAATCTCTCCGTGATTGAGTTACATCGTTTACTAGCAAGCAAACAAAGACCAAAATTAATATAACTCTTTAGGCACAGCTAGTATACATGTATACTTAGTAGTAGAAACCCAACTGTATATATAGTATTATAAATAGTATTATAAAGTTATACACAGTAAAGATTCATAATAAGGAGCAATGATGTGTGTCTTGGGACAGGGCCATTGATTGCAATGTGCAATGATGGCTGTTGCTTGTTACCAGATGAAAGGATTTTACCAAAGCATGACATACATTTTTAGCACAGGCAGAGTGAGAGGAACACCACACAAAGCATAGCTTAAATGTGAAAAGAAAAAAAAAGAGAAAAAAGAAATGTTTGCTTTTTTAATGAGTTTATGTCAGAAGTTTGTAGAATTTCAGATTATAAACTGAAATATTTTTGCGAAGATATACACATAGTATATAATAGAAATGCATCGACAATTGTCGATTAAAAAAATTTCCTTTGTTGAAATGCATGGTCCAATAATTTTTTACCCTCATTCATATTGAATGCACTCACATAAATGCAAAATCTTATCCCCCTCTTTATATTTTTTAATTCTTTTTCATTTATTTTGTTTATTATTTTATGTGCATTGCCCTGCAGTGGAAATGCTGACCTGAATTAGATCAAGCTGTTCTGACCAGGATACAGATTTCAATCTGAAGAGTGCTTCTGTGCTATATTGGCATTGTCCAGTTCTAATGGGCTCTGTCACAAACACAATACTTTGAACCAGATTGCCCAAGCCATGAGACTTACATTCAAGAACAACCTAGACAAGAATAATAACATTACTGTTCAGTATTGCCACCTTAAATTAGACCGTACCCTCTATCTTAGCCAGATATCTCATAAAACCTCGTTTTTTTTGTTGAGGATATAAAAACTGTGGTTAAAACTGATAGAGATCTGTCTGAGGATAACCCAAGTTTTGTCGTTTGAGATATTTCCTTTAAAGAATAACTGACTGGAAATGCTTGACATTTTAGAAATTATTTTCTGCAGGGAAAATAACCGGTTTGTCTGTTTGTTTAATTTGAAATATTACATTTGACAGTTGTGGTATTAAGAAAGTCTGTGCAAAGAATCTTTAATTTTCACCAACATTTTTTTTTGTCTTATGAATATAAGTAAACTTTTTCTATGAAACCAGTTGTTTTAACATTTCAATTTGATCCTAAACATGAAATAATTTACCAAACCTTGACAAACTATCTGTCTGTTAAGAAATTTAATGTGCAGATTGACTCGTGTAGCTATTTTGGTGGTGTTAAGATGGCACCAAGGTGAGTTGAACCTCAGAACAAGGAGATAATATGCCCAGGGTCTCCTCAGTCAGTTTATGGACCTTGTCCAATTTGGTAATCAAATTTGCAGCTGATTAAATCAGAGAAAACATTAATTAGCTGATGGTGTCTGGCTGTAAATAACTAAGCATGTCTTAAGTTAGTGATCTTATTGGATGACGCTTGAGGTTTATTTTCTATGACATCACTTTGTTTTGAGATACTTCAGATGATCAGAAATAACAAATTGTTTGAAAATATTTATGGGAGCTAGGGTTAGACATAGCTGAGCTGCAGTTGTAAGTTTACCCAAGTGGCATACATGGTCTGGACATTTATCTTTAGATTTCACTCATCTCAGGGAAAGCATCTCTCATCAGATCATGGTTATCTTAAGTTTAGATAAAAATGTACATTTCTGTTTGATCATTGTGACAATTGATTTGCCTGGAACTGTAGTGTTATGCCAAATGTTTGGTGCTGCTGTGTAATGTTTAAATATATTCACCTGACACTGACGAGACATTGAAAATTCAATTTCTCTGTGTTTTCTTTGCTGAATAAAATGCCCTTTAAAACAGTGTTTGATAGATAATTTTTTACATAATTACAGACTGAAAATCTACAGAAGACGGTTGTAGCCAGAGTACCTTCCCCTTTGCCGCAAAAATACAGTCGAGAAAGCCGTCCCAGACGAGGAGCAGGAAGGTGGTGCGAGCACTGTAATATCCGCCTGCTGGAGTTGAAAAGACAGGCAGTCAGAATTCTCATCCCAATACAGAAGTTAAGACATCTGTATGCACACAAGGTATGGTTTGTTTGCATTTTGTTGAAAAAAAAAGAAATGGAAAAAAATACAGATTTGATTGCCATTATTTGTGTTGTTTCTTCTAGAAAGTAGTAACACTGTTAAAGACACTTTAGCTCTGTTATTAAATGAAGGATTATTGAAGTTTTCTTTTATTGCATCATTGTAGGACAATGTTATTTTTGACATGTTTTTATACACTGTTCAAGTTATCTTTACATGAGATTTTAGGTCCACAGAAACTTTTTGACTTAGATGGGTAGACATTGATAAGATGCTGAGCATTCCAGGCAGCAGGTATTTAAACAGTTCATAGTCGATTAAAGCAGACCTTTAATGTTGATACACATAAGAAGATGAACTCTCCTTTCAGCAGACCTGTACAACTGTTTTTTAATGTGGTCTTTTAACATTCATCCCAGCAGAGTCAATTACCTCTCTCTTTTTTAATCCGAAAACACATGGCTCACCAAGATATCGGTTGATTTTATCAGTACTGAAAAAGTGTCCGGGAAGTCTTGATTGAGGGAAGCAGAGGTGCTTTCTATAAACTTCCAGTTGGTTCATTCAGTTTGCAGCCATTAGAATTTAATGTACAGGCTGCAACCTGAGATCTGTGATTGGGGTAAATTGCTACTATATAAGGTACTGCAAACCATCTCCTATCACTTGAATGTAATGGGTATCAGACTCCTGTTTACCTAGTTGAAATTTATGTAAAGGCCAAGAGACAATGAAGGCTGTTTTTCTTTTTCTTTCCATTAGTGTCACTAGCAGTGTGTAACATTAGTTCATGTGATGAGGGGAAGGATGTGTATACAAATATTATGAGGGATGGAGACCTTTTCCGTGTTGGCTACTGGCTGGCTCCTTGAGCTTACATGTACCAATGGTCAGTCTTAATGTGAAGGGTCTTCCACCTTGCCCCACCTATAAAACATACACTTTATATATTACTAAGTTTTCTCATAATTGGGCCCTCTGAATGAATATTATAAACAGTTTGAAAGATGGAGTGTTGAAGCAAGTTAGTGGCTTAGAGACTAGTCTCCAGTTTGTACTATTTGTTTGTATTTAGATTAAAACAGTTCAACATGCTGCTTAAGTAGGATTACAGTAACTGAGAGTCAACAGTTAAAGGAGTGTTTACCTCTCAGGTGAAGAATGTGTTGGAATTCATTTTTGAAGTGAGAAATAAAGAATATTGATCCGTGGAGAAAAGGATTCTGCCTGCTCCAAATCATATAAATTACGGTGGGTATATTTATTTATAACCCTTAGTTTTCTTTGAAATCCAGGAGCTTGAACTGAGAGCTATGAAATAATTCATGACTTGTGTTTCTATAATGGTGAAATAAATGTTGTACTTTTAGAATTGCAGATGGTGTGTATTATGAACACTGGCTAAGTCTTTTTGGCTGTAATTCAAAGTACCTAACATGTTCTCAAAAATTTAGCTTTTATTTTTATCAAAATATCATACCTTATAGTATTTATATTATAAACTAAGGTGTCAGTGTATATTATTCATAAAATTGCTTGGTTAGTAAGTTTGATCCCTGATAGTATAAAAAAGTTGTCATTTAATATGCAGGTGTTCACTGTGTAGTTTTGATCATTTGGTGGTGATCACAATGATGGATAATGAGAAAGGCTTATGTATCTTTGTTGTATGGTGTAAATGCTACTGCCTAATCTAAGTTGATTCTCCCAGGGCTGTGTACACAACCTGACCAGCTTGAACTGGCAAGGGACCAACTGTGATGCCAGTTATATATTTCTGAACTAAGTTAGTCTAGTTGTGAACAAAGCATAAGTCGTATCCAGAGGTAAAATTCGCAAGAGGTAAATTTCACTTGCACAACTCACTAGTGAAAACTTTATAAAGGGGAGTGTGCTCTAAGTACACAATTGAATAATGAAAAAATGGGAGACAGATGAGGAGGGTTTAAAAGCATCAAACCACCTGTGAGATAACACACTACAGAGGAGATTGCGCAGATTCTGCTTTATCAGACGGAGAAATGGTATGTTCTGCATTATATTCACTTCACTTAGATTCTTTCTCCATATGAATTGAAAGGAACGTAGTCATAAGTATAACAGAGGGCTGAAGGTATTTGTTAATCTTGGAATGTAATAGGTTAATTCTTTCCTGGCGGTTGCATTTCATGTTGAAGCAAGGCAAGATTTTCAAAGAGTTACTGAAGTGTCAAAGTAACTGAGCGCTTCTCTGCAGAAAAAAAAAGATTGAACCTGATTTAATCATCAGTCAGTTGAGCATGTGCACAAGCCACCTTTCTTCGTGCAAGAATTTTTCATTGGCAGCTCTCTGGGTAGTTTGTTAACATGTGTTCATTACATGTGCTTTACTAGGACAATAAGTACTCTGTTGTACTTGACTATCACAGGGTTTCCTACTTGGTTTTCCAACTGTGTATGATAGATGCCTTATTGTAGAATATTCTCTCGAGCTATTTATTTTATTAAAAAAAATTTCAAGATGAACTGGATTGAACGAGTTATGTTTTGATTTAAAGTTCTAGGCTTGACATGAATGTAACCCCTTATCTGAGTATCAAGTTTGGTTGTTCATAAAGAAAAATGAAATTCTGGGTTGGATTTTTTCAAAGGATTTTAAAAACTTGGCTAAACCTCAGTTGTTATGATTAATATATTCATTAATTGTACAGTTAATTTCAACTAAATGTTTTGCATATACAGTACATGTTAATAGGTGATACATCTTTAGAAATAAGGAAAAGACTAAACATCTGTCTGGCTAGGTTTGAAGTGCCCTTATAAAGAAGATTATATAGAAAACATGGATATGTCACAAATTAAAGCCAGTCCAATTTCATTATGACAGTTTGATTGCCCCTTAAAAAGTGTAGTTTTTAACTTGTTGTGTGTGCTCCAGTTTGAGGCTTGAAGTCTTTTCAGAAAGAAAACAAAAGGCATGCTGAATTATTTAAAGGCAGTACTGTAGTTTGATTTTTTCTTGAAAGTGTTATGAAGTGTAAAAGTTGGATAACCAAAGCTGAAATGTTTAATACCTTTGCTTTTTTATAGTTAAAAATAAAAAATAAATAAAAAAACATTGCCAACCTCTATCTTAATTTTATACATGACAAGTTGCAGGTTTAAAATACTGAAAGGATCCCCAAGTTTATCAGTATGAGACAGTGGCATCTGTGCGTCTCTCTGTCTCCAGTAAGGCCACTCAGTGGTGCTACCTCTATCTACTATCAGTTGATAGCTCCAAAGCAGACAAGTTTGGTGTCAGCATATCTAGATTTTTGTTTAATTATTTCTTTAAAAGGAGTCATTGATTGGGCACTTGAAAGCAGTGTATTATATATGTGAACTTCTGTGTTCACTGGTGTGCCTGTTCATGTGACTGTGTGAATGTGATAATAATTACATGTTCATTTTTTGGAGATTATCTTACCTTAAAGTAGTGGTGATTAGCTAGAAACAATTATCACAAAATGATTTTCTTTTATGTTTTGCAGAATTATTTAGGGAAACAATTATGCTTTATTGTAACTGCTCGATCAATGTCAAAAAGGAGGAAAATTGCCTCTTTTTTTCATTTGAGATCTCTTTTTTATTTAGCAGAAAGATTATCCAAACACTTGTATACATCTTGAATGATACATGGGAAATTACAGGCATAATTTTTTGCCTTAGCAGTCATTTTAGGCTACTATATATTAAAGTAATCCATCTATCAGTTTTATGCAGATGGTAAAATGCCCATCCAAATAGTACAGGGGGTATCTTAAGGTTGCAGCGGTTGTATGTCTCCAAGCACTCTTAACTTGGGATTACATATGTTGTATCCTGATTAAGTTTGTCCTCTTTGATGTCTCCTCCGCTTATCTGACTGGGAGTCAGTATAAGCACTTGTGTCTCCTACCCATACCTCAGTGACAGGAGACTGGAGCAAGCCTCAGGTATGTTGACTTTAATCTAAACCTCTATCATCCCTATGAGATTGGTTAAATCAAAAATAATTTTTGTAATTAAGTCAGGTTGTATTAGAAATAGATTTACAGTACTAAATTGTATTGAAAAGTTAATTGTGCCATAAAGTATTCAAACTCTGGCAATAAAGATTTTAAATGTTCTGTAAACTTGTGGAAAATAAGACTTGTTAGAATTCCACTTCATAGTTTTTTATAGACCAAGAGGGGAAATTGTCAAGAGGCTAATGAAACATCTTGATTTTGTATTTGTTGAGTGTTTATTTTATGTCAAGATAAGCTGAATTTATTTCCTTACTTTTTTTGGCATATTGTACAGGTCCCATTCATGATTTTATAATTGCTTAAAGCTTTTGGGCTAGATAAAATAAAATGCAGGTAGGAGGTAAAGAAGGGACAAATTTACGAGTGTTTGGGACACTGACGACAATTTATATTTGGTTATATGTCAATACGTGGACATATCCGGAAGACCCCCACTGGTAAATTATATTAGGAAGAAATAGTTTGATGTTGTGAAAAGATATGGTCCTTCACTTCATGTTTTTGAATTATACAAAAGATTAATAGTTTGAAATCTAGCTCATTAATTGTCCATGCACATTATAAAGTGTTCATCTTTTTCCCTTTTTCCCTCTCTCTTATTTTTTCCACAAAAAATGTTGCAAAGATTACATACAACTATTATGTGTATTAATTTGTGACATAATTTAATACATCTGTTACTTAACATTGGAGCCTACCAACTGGTTTGCAGATGTACGACTAAATGCATTGCCCCTTAAAGGTTTTTGTACATTACTATTTATTCATTATTCAATTAAATAATGCAGAAATAAAAACATTGTCATGTTATGTGATAATGCTGTCACGTCAAAAATATGTTAAGTGAATTTGCTAATTTGAGCTGATGATGTCATAGCAGTGTTTTTGGGGTAAAACCAGTATATCGCTGTATACGTTTCTCCCTCACCTGAACAGCTATCAATACTGTTTTGATGCCTATTTAATCACAACAGTGAGAACTACAGTGTGGTGCTTGGAACTTTCCTGTAAGACCCGATTCTGATTAAAGTGGCGAAATAATGGCTTTGTTTAATAAAACATTGAAATTACAGGCTGATTTTCTTAAACAAGATTTAAAGTCAAAGTCAACATCAGATTGTAGTTCACACCCTAGAAGGTGATATGCCAATTTTTATGATATCTTACTTAGTTGCAGAGTTATATTGGAAAGCAATCACTATCTCACACCACTTTACAGAGCAGCATAATTGACACTGAAAGCTTAGCCACCCCATGTCAAAAACAAATTGGGTGATGAATAAAGCAACAGAAAAAGAAAGTTGTGTTCTAAAAGCTTTAAACATAATTGTGCTTATATAAAGATTATTATTTCACATAGAAGAAATGAGGGGGAGGCTATTTTGCCAAATAGAGGCCTTTATAACATCCCCCCCCCCCCCCTTTAAGTTTTGAGGTTCCTTGTTGAATTGAGCTTGGAAACAGTGTGAACTTGATGTAAGGTGTGGATGAGGTGGGTTGTAATAGAACAGATCCCAACAGGTGCTTGGATTGAGCAGGGACAGAGTACTGATAGGAAAGTTAATAAATCACTGCATCTTTTCCATCAGGCTGAATGACGTGAAGCACCTACTAGTAGTGCTGCTGAACAGAGATTGCGTTTGTTGGATGTTATTGTGCTGGTCTCCAAGTATGATAGATGTGGTGTGCCAGGGTAGTTAAGTGTTAGCATGGCAGTCATAGTGCTAAGTGGTGCAGGTGTAGAAGTCTTCTCTCCATGATAAATGAATGAATCTACAGGAAGGCAGCATGTCTCCCATTGAGTGCTGATGAAGTAGCACTGCTCATTGTCTCAGCATAGATAGAGGAACTTAATCTCAAATGTACATATTTACTTGCATTAATCCCAAGTGTTAATCTGCAATGTAATCAGGTTTTTTTTTATGTAGAAAAGATGATGTGGTGCCAGTTTGAGGTGTTTGGTTATCAATATTTGATATAGACAAGCCATGAGATTACTTGACACACTGATCAGAGCTGCCAATCAGCTAAGTTGTATTTAGAGAAACTCTGGAAATAGATTCACAATTCATTTAGTGATTATATGTAGAATGCACTGTTAAAAGGGAAATTGGCATCATTATATAATGACCACTTATATAGGCCTGTAACTGGTGTTTTGTCACTTTTAAATTTATGTACAAAATTCGATATTATTTTACCTAGAAAGCATTGTTACATTATCTCAGTGTAACCTAAAAGGTGATTAAAAATGTGATTTTTACTATGTTATTTCAATTTGAAAGTTTCTTCTATGAACTGGTATGAATATAATGCTTTTCTTTAAGTATATACTGTTACTGTTTGTTGTTATTTTTTCACATACTGATATCCATTTTTTATGAAATTGATATCACTCTGTCAGACCATAATGTAAGTTTTAAGTTATTGATTTAGCTATTTTAAGTTTGTAGACAATAGTCTTTATGACGCCAACCATTGCTGTAGTTTGTCTCCCTTTTTAAGTATGACACTTCCATTGTAGCATTGCCATTAATTTCCTATGTATTAGCTATGCGTAACTACTCTCCTATTAACATCTGTTATCACCTTAATGATAGTCTGTCATGAAAAGACATGATTATGATCAATTAAACAAACTTATCCATCAAAGCTTTAACTGTTATTCATTATTACATGGAAATCACTAACTTGCGTGATTTGTCTAGTAACACGCAGTCTTCACAGTGGTTTAATGCACAATGAGTCTGTGTTGTAGCTCATTGTGGATTTCAATGTTTCTTTTTAAATCCTTCAGGGAGACGATCAATTATTGTTGAATTATTAACACTTATGTGGGTTTTCTTTTATTTACATTTTAAAACAGTCGTGGAAGATAGAACTCTGTGCAAATGAAAAGCTCATTAACATCCCTTTAATGTAAAAAATCAAAGGAAAAGGTTTATTCAGACTATGTTTGCACGATTACCCAAAATATTTATGCTGAGATCTTAAACACTGTCATATTTATGGGTCTGTTTTTTAACTACACGTGTTTGTCAGAAATGTCATGCAGATGTCATGCACTGAAGTGTAATTTCGATATCTTTTGTGGTTTTTTTCTATATTATGAAATGAAGTACATGTATGTTTGTGTTAGCTACATCTGCTGTGAAACACAGCATCTTTGTGTATTTTTTTCTTTTTAGGCAACCTTTTAAAAATTTTTTGTGGAATTGTTCTAAAGATGAACAAATAAAATATTCCACTGATATTTTTTGAAGAATGCATTGATAATACATCATTTTAAAAAAGTTTTATTTTGGAGGGGGGGGGGGACTGTTGGCTGATTGGCTTGTATACATCTTTGAGTTTATAATCTGCTTAGTTTCAGCCGATCTGCAGTAATAAGTGCATAAATTAGTAACTCCCCTGCATAGCATGGTTAAATATTTACACTTCAAAACTCTATTTCATATAGCAGTATCTCATTTACATTCTTTTTTCTTTTGTTCTCAAAGGATTTCATTCCTGAGAAAAATCATTGCAAGACAAGACACTTCAGGGGAGTAATGATTTTTTTTTACTACAGGGTCAAAAAAAAGTCATCTGAAACTGAAGGAAGCTAAGCCAGACAGACCCAGGATCCCAGGTTGAATAAAAAGGGGATATTTTTCCATTAATTTCCTGTCACATCGTATTCATTTTGTTGCATTGTTATGATCAATAAATCCAGGGGAATGTTGTAGAAGTTGCCAGGAAGGTTGGTAGTGACACCTGTGAGGACTGTTGTAATTTTGTCCTGGCATAAAAAGCAAGGGTGTTGTTACAAGGGTTTATCTTCACACTACACCTGTGTGGTGTACAAGCTGTGCCACTGATCACAACCACACTTGGGACTCTGACAAATGACAAGACGGGACTTTTAGGGGTTTTACTGGCGTACCAAACAAACACTCTGCCGCACTAGACTGAAGTGGAAGATAAACCTTGAATTCAAACCAAATTTAACAGGATTTGTCAGAACTTGACACATATGATGACAATGGACTTTTTAATCGGTTGATCTTTTTTTTTTTCTTTTTTAAAGGCACAGGACTTGTGTCAGTTGGTGCAGTTATCCCCAAGGCAGGTAGGGATTATGCAGAATAGATTAGTGAACCTTTCTGCTTCAAACATATAAGGGAAGTTCCATCTCTGATTTTGAATGCATTAATTATCAGATTAAAAATATTGATTGAATTAATGCATCTGTCCTTAAGCAATATTTGTAATGAAACAGCAAAAGGCACCCGTTCAATTTGAAAATTGTCTACCTTGCCTATTTGCAAAGTTAAAAAATGGAAAAATGATATATTTGTTGGAGATTTTGAAATGGTGCTCGATTAATTTGCTTCCAATGATTTACTGTAAATTCCAGAAGTAAAGTGCTCAATAACACTTTCCACCAAAGTGCAGGTAGATATTGGAAATGATAAAGGTGAGGGTTCAACACCTGGAACACTTATGAGATAACTTGTCAGACAATTATACCTTCACACTGGACAAAAAAGGGATTCTGGTTATGTTCACAACTAGACTAAGATGAAAAATTGACTGGTATAACCAGATTACATCATAAGTATGTCTTTATTCCCATTTTTCTAAACAATCAAACAGATGGTGATTTCAATTAGAATAATTTTTTTGTAATTTTGAACTTGAAAAACATCTCAAGGGGCTCATGGACAAGTTTTTCACCTCAACTTACTTTTCAAGGTCATAGGGGTCATGCTGAGAAAAACTTCAGATGGGCCTAGGTTAGAACATCTAATTTCGCTTTATGGCATGAACAGATCAAACATTTTCAATTTTCTTCAGGCTAAGTAAAGTATCTTCAGCATTTTGTCGGAACTCTATATGCTAGAGTGAAGCAAGGTTGACATAGTCATATCATAGCACGCCGCAGCACATTGTCTTTTGTCAAGATCCTCTCATTGTGCTTTTAATTTAATTGATTAGCAGTTAGGCAGGGCTTTTCATATTTCTTTTGGACTAGGAAATGTCCTTAAAGGAGTTGCAAGTAATGGAATCTAATATTTCCATTTGTCGTGGGAAGATGGAGGAGATCATTCACCATTCACTTCCTTTCAAGGATAGATTTATTTTGGGCCTTCTGAAGTAAAAATACATTATGGATTTTTCTCTTTAAATTTGAATGTGGACTTTCAGCCTTAACGGTAGAGGGAAAGCTTAGTCGAAAGGATGAGAATAATTTTATTGGATTGACAAGAGATATTTGTAAGTTACCAAAACTCAAGACAGCATCCTGAACAAACAAATGATTTTTTGCCAAGACTAAGAGGCCATTCAGAACAGAAAATCCAAGGATCTTCTGATCCATGGGTCAAATATGTGCAGACCCTACATGAAAGAAGAGCCGAATAATTCGCTGATAGTCTCCCCGTCTCCACATGTGCCGTTAAACGGATTAAATCATGACCTTGAGGTTTAATTGCTAGACCCTTGCAAGGACGGCGCGTGTGAAGGCGGGGAGACCATCAGCTGATTAATAGGCTCTTCTTTCATGTAGGGTCTGCCATATTTGATTCGTGGATCAGTAGATCCTCAGATGCTCTGTTCTGAATGGACTCTTACACTCTAGGGATCTAGATTTAAAAGCAACCTAGTTCTCAGAATTCAGAATTAAGAAGTTGGCATAAGCTGTGGACAGGGTGAAGGGACTTCATAGAAAGATGGGATTTCAATCAAGTGTCTAGTTCCTGTTTTTAGTACTGAAATGTTAATTGTTAAAACTGATGTGAACATGACCTTATCATTTATTAACAATATGTGGAAAAAACAAGTGACAAAGTGCAGTTGCTTTCAAACTTTTGGTTTGTCATTATTGATGAAGTCGTTTGGATTGTTTTGTGAGAAACTAATTTAAATCTGGAGTGGAAAAAGTTGTTAAGTCTGTATTGATTCTGTTGCTCATATGTTTGTTTTCTTCCCATAGAGCAATACATTTTTTATTTTATTCATCATTCCAGAAAATTAACTCCATTCATATTGCGCAGTGATCAGATAATTGCAGAAGGGAGTTTATCTCAATTAGTCCATTAATGAAAATGATGAGTTTAATGAGGCTGGTACTTACCAGGTCAAATACTTAAACCTGAAATATTGTATAATGGAGACATTTTGCCTAAAGCGCAGATATATGGCTCCCTAGAATAAATCCTTGAAATAAGAAGACATAATGCTATGTAATGGGATAAGTCAGTTGCATCACTGAATGTCAAACTATTAATGTTAAATATTTAAAGTGCAGCAAAGACATTGGCACTCAGAGATGTAGGCAGTTCCTATCATTTTATTACTTGTACCAAGGCCCCATATATTACCAAACCTCCAGGCAATATTGTTCATTACTCAAGAATTGACACACACACACAATATTGCTTTTAGAACACATGATCTATAGATCTGCTTTTCCAAGTTATGAAGGCATTATTTCTAAGCTGTAATTTACTGACATATCACTGTTCAGATATGTAGGGTGATACAACTTGACAGTGAACATTGAATGAGTCTCATTTTAGTTCAAGATTAAAATGGTCTAAGATTAGAATTCATATCAAATTGATTTGAATTGCATAAGATAGACATGTGCATGTAGAAAGTAATGACCAGAGAAATCAAACAACATTCTTCATTCTGTGACCAGAATTAAAAAATAAAACCTATTTTTTTTTCAAATAATGTCTCCTTGATAACAAAGGCTTATTGTAAGAATGCTGATAAAGCATGTTGTACAAGGATTTCTATCAAAATTTAAAATTGAATAAAAATGAACTAATATATAAAAGGTTCAGTATAAAATATCCTCATTGCAGTCTTTTACGTGTATATCTGTAGGATATTTTGAGTTTGAGACTAAAAGACTCCAGAGAAAATTATTGTATTTTTCATGTTAAAATTCTATATACTTCAAGACACTCATATAGTTCAGAATATTCAGAATTCATCTGTATCTGTTTTAAACTCAAATTGCTATCCTGCACTTTAATCAAATTCAATTTACAGTAATTCTGTTCAATAAACATCATACTCTCATTCTATGAGAGTATCATTAATTTGGAATACTGCAAGGCCTAGAATTGTTTGCTGAGAATGAATTCTCTTCTGTCAAATGAAAATTCAATTAGAATTCTAGAACAGCAAATTGTGGGGCAAAATAGATTAGATTACATTTAATGAGTGTGATTATAGCTCAGGTTTCTGCTCACAAAGTTTATAAAGAGGAGAAGACCACCATTTCTGCAATGATGTGTTTTCTACAGTATGACACAAGATGGCTTCCTACCACAGTATTAAATGTGACAAGGTTTCTCCTATTGGGAAAAAATAATATGGCATGATAACAAAATTTCCTTAAAATTCATTTTTTCATTCTACAAAATTGCATTTTATAAGAAACTTTTTGTAACTTACATCTTTTCTTATTTAAAATTATAATCCAGTATTTTTTGTTTTGTTGCTTGTGAGTGTTATGTAAATGCTTTGATCTTTATAGCAGCTACCTGAATAAGCTACACTTGCTATCATCAATTGTTAGTGTTTCAACAAACACATAATGACCATTTTTTAACAGAATCAATATTGCAAATATTACCTGGTGTATCTGTATTCCCCAAATAACTATCAAATGAGAAAAAACACCATTAGTGTTATTTTATACCATTTCTGTTGTTTATACAGTTACATAGGAATGGGTTGATGTTTTATTTGTGCGTAGAATAACAATAAATATTTCAATATTTCATTGATTTGATAGGAACAGGAACCTGCGAATGCCATTAATTCACCATTAACGTCAGGTGTCAATCACTCTTTTATGAACAATACCTGTCAATCTAACCCAGTGTATTGTTCGGTAATTTGGCCCACAATGCCTTTTGCTACTTATTTGGTAATTCTATCTGTTTGCTTGAAAATACACCAGCTGAGATGGAAATTTGTTGGTGTTTAGCAGCATTCATCTCGGAAGGTTCCATAGGTGTGCACTTTTTGTGTGGTTCTCATTCATCAAAGGGTAGGATCTACAAACCAGTGGACCAGATTCAGCAATGCTTTTGTTCCAGCAGTTCTGCCATTTCAAGGTTCTGTTTGCTTGAGTTCCTCCAAGTTGAAGGAGTTTGGGAAGCCTGGGGTGTGATTGGCAAACCCAGGCCTCTTTCATGCCTGCTTGCCTGTCCAATAGCCACTGTGTCCATGGCCAATTAGCCATAGCTACCGGTCAGAGAACTGGTGACCAGAGGTAGTGCCCCACTGGACCTGTCATCTTTCCTTACATCACTGTCAGACCTCATTGGCAGCTGAGGGAGTTTGAGATGCTTTTTCTGATGTATTTTTCTTCTGATAAAAAAGAAACCCCTGGAGATGCTTTAGACTTGATTTGGCAGTTGATACCAGCTTTAGAGAGGTTCCCATTTCACTGATATGTTCTCATGCAAGGGTGCTGCAGAGTTTTGAAGTGGATGCTGCTGGCAGGATGGAAGTGCTCCTTAACAGAATACCCATGTGCAGTGGCAAGGAACTGTAGTAGTTTTGAAAGCTTTCACGGATGCAAAAAATGGTGAGAACAAGCCTTTTAAGTATGTTTGCTGCAGTTCTAGTTGAATGCTTCAGTTTTTCTTTGCCTTCTGATAGGCCATCAGATGTATTTCTGACATAAAAAATTAATTCAACTTTGTTTCAGTCTCCCTCTCAACTGATTATATTTTATTGATTCATCATCTTGTGTTGCTCTTCAATTTTTGGTTGCTGTATTAGTGTAGAACACCCAGTAGAGTCATAGATACTTATCAGTCCTCAGAAGTGAGTTGAAGTTGTGGTTATCGGAGAAACTCGAACTGAGGAGAGGATTATTTGACAAAGGAGAAAAACTGCTAATCAGGATTGGATTTCATGGTTGAGCTCCAGAACTTTGCTTCAGTGGTGGCTTTCTCGTCAGCCAGGTGTGACAGTGTGCCTCAGGTGGTGCATGTTCACTAAGTGGCAGAAAAGGTCCCTGTTGTAACCATAAAAGAAGAAAACTAGTCAGTTGGGTTATTAGCTAGTCTAAGGTAGGTAATGTTAGATCTAAAA